AAAGTTCACCTAACGCAAGTATGCAGGGATGGGCTACCTTGCAAAATACTTGTCATTCCTGGATCCGCCTTGAAAAATAGCTCTACATAGGGATTTATCTTAAAAAGCGATTTTCAAGTTCTTAGTAAGGAAGGAGGATATTGAAATAAGAAATAAACATGATATTATCGTTCTGATATACTTCTAAGAAAATAGGGCGAAAACAAAGCTTTTCAACAAGGTTTAGGCTCTGTTTGTTTGGAGCATCTTATTTTTCGGCCGATGGACGTTGGCCAAATACTGTACGTCGTGCCGTCCTTGGGCCACGCTTGCTCACTCACCTGGAAAGTCACGGTCGCGCATGTTATGCATCCTTCTTGCTGTCAGCATCGATGTTGGCAGAGATAACTATATGAACGATCTCTTAATGTTTATTTGAATGATTTTCAGCTCAGCGCGATGGTCAGAGCTCAGAAACTTTACCTGTATTGAGAAGAGAAGCTTTTCAGTTTAAGCGGGTAGGAAGTGTGCATAAGGCCCCGGTCAGACTTCACGCGACTTAATCGTCGCGACCAAATCGCCAAGATTTTCATTCATTTTCATTTCACATTCAAAAATTTCGGTCTGGAAAGGTATCACTACCGAATGCAAGTTGATCTGCATGAAATGATGTTGTAACAGTTGTCTCCTCGCGATTCGGTCGCGACGATCAAATCGCCAAGATTTTCATTCATTTTCATTTCACATTCAAAAATTTCGGTCTGGAAAAGTATCACTACCGAATGCAAGTTGATCTGCATGAAATGATGTTGTAACAGTTGTCTCCTCGCGATTCGGTCGCGACGATCAAATCGCGTGAAGTCTGCCCGGGGCCTAAGACAGCTTCCCTCCTTCAAGAAAGGTTATCTTGCAGTAAATGGCATCACCACTCATGTTGTTTTTGTCGTGCTGCTTCGCGTTAAATGGCCGTCATTTTATGATTGGAGATGTTTCCTGACTGTACTAATTTGTATGCGCTACAGTGGACTCACCGTGCCCCTAATCTTTTTACATGCAGCATTTATCATCTATCGCTAAATTTTGTCAAGAGAAGCTTTTTGAACGATGGAAGCTTCTAAAGAAGGGAATTCTGAGTGGCTTGATATCTATCCTCATACTTTCTAAGGGACCGGTCATACTAATCCTGTGATTCCTGCAATTCCTGCAATTCCCATGATTGCTGCGGGTCCAATAACATTGTATATTGCGAAAAAACAATGTATAATGCAATTTGCAATGCACTTCGTAGTTCGGCACATCGGAATTCGAGGAATCACAAGAATTGTAGGAACTACGAAGTCGCAGTAATTACCTCCTGGAATAGTATGGCCGGTCTATAAGTTCTTGCACTTCGGTCTATATAGGGCCTACAACTGAGCTTCCCCTAAGATTGTGAACTAGAAGACTTTGGAGAGCTTTGCACGTACAGTTGATACTGTGATCTCATTTGCATAATCCACCAATTAGCTTTAACTTTGACAACAGCGTTCGGCGTTCTCGATCCTTTGATCACTAAACATTGTTTTGGTTTCCGGTGGGATTTTGCTGGAAGGATTGAAAGTTCAGCCATGAGTATGGGACGGCATTGTTACTAGACAGTTTGTCTAACTAGTCTCTATAACTTCGATGACGCTGGTGTTGGAATAAAGACTGAATGAAAAGAGCATTTTGTTCTATGGAGGAAAACTAGTGATCAAATATCTGAAATCAGTCTATAATAATGCAAAACGTACCAAAGAAAGAAGCAATAATATTTTTTTGGAGTGGTATCAATTATTCTTCGAGAAAACATGATCTTAAGCAGTAAGGAAGATCACACTGCTGGAAATGTACACTAACGCGCGCACTGAGGCTCTCGTACAGTAGCTTGTCCTTCCTCAGGAACTTTCGCTGCAAAGCAGCTCCAATATGAGAAGAATTAACTCTTCGAATGGGGAATATGAGAACATGCGCTTCTGAGAATGTTCTTTGACCTTCTTTAAGTTCTGAAACATTCAAAAACATGCCTAACCGCGATTTTCCAAGTTTGGGCGAGCAAGCGTGACCCAAGCTCAATGTGCTAGGTCCTACCGCGCCGTGAGAAACCCCCGCGACCGCCCGCACAGCCGGTTAAGTAGAATTAGATGGCGCCGCGATTCCGTAAGATCGAAGATCGCATTTTCCGCTTGCTCCATGTCATAGACACGAGCTCTCAAAATGATGGATTGTCGCATGCTGAATGAACAAAACATTGCTAAGTCAAGACCTAAAGTTTAGAAAACTCGGTATTATGCCAGACGATGTAGACTAAACTAGGCCCGTACTCAACATCAGCTTTCCAGAAAGCAACAGCTGATGTTAGAAAAACCTATAGTGGAGCGGCCCGCCGCCGGCGGCGAGGAGATGGACCGACCGTTCAAAAGATGAAGATTGCCGCGTTTCGCAATCTGCAAAACATTGCACGAAATGCGTTTTACAGTGGGACGAAATTAACGGCCCAAAAACGGTGATCGGTCTTCGGCACATGGGTAAAATTAATCACTGATAAGTTTTTCGAGAGGTGATGAAATTGGATAAAATTTTGGCTGTGGGGAGAGGAAGGATGAATCAAAAGTTTGAATGGAAAAGTGGAAAGTTTTGAGTTCTTTGAAGATAAGTTAATCGGGTCAGGCGCAACCCTTCAAAAGCTCAGGCGGCCTGAGCTTTTAAGGGGTTGCGCCTGACCCGATTACTTCATCTCAAATTGAACTTTTTTGAATAAGTCTTATGTTATTCATTAGCACAGATCTCGTAAATCCCTTGTTAGGTGTGCGAAGCAGATTCGTCCTGTTTTGGCTTTTTAGGAGCTCATGCTGTGCATCCAGTCGAGCTGAAAAACGCCATTGTCGAAATTTTTATGGGGCTAAAACCATTACTTTGAAGTGGTTTGAGACGAAATTGATAGGGTATGTTAGCGAAGAGTAATACTTTGTAACAAGTGTGAAAAGGTTGACTTTTATGATCGCTGAAATTAAGTTAGTCATGCTTGAAAATAGCCCTTCTATACATTCTCAGACAATCAAGGCTCTCAGCGGGCAGCCACAAAGCCACTGCGCTTTTGGTGGGTTTTGGCGGTGGCTCTGTGGCTGCCGGCTGATAGCCTTTGATTGTCTGAGTTAGAGAAGATGGAAAATTGTGATAGGAAATTATATAAAGGGTCCACAAAGGGTATTTTGCATCCTGATTACGAAAATAGCCTTCACTTCGTTGTATGAGACTGGTGGGGTTACGGTAGGTATACGGTAGGTTGGGAAGGTCCAGTCAGATACGGTAGGTATACGGTAGGTTGGCAAGGTCCAGTCAGATTAATCTAACTCTGCTGCTTTTGTACCTTTCCAATGCACTGACAACAAATTTTATTGCAGAAGAACTCGCCAAAATGTCTATCTTGTCTATCTTTCCCGTCGGATCACTCGCAAAACCAGAATGAAGAAATATTTTATTAGGCAATCAGTGTTGATGTATTTCTTTATTTTTCTTTACTAGCTCCAACTTCACAAAAATCAAGCAATGAGTTTGTTCATATACAAAACCATGACTTTTGTAATTAAATCCTTTGTGCAATCGTACACGTGCAAAGAGCAAATTCAGAAAAGAGTTCATTCACTGTTTCTTACTCAGTAATTTTCCCATCTTAGCTAAAATAACCGGAACTTCATAAAGGCAAACCCGGTAATGAATTCCTTACCAGTGCACCTGCAAAAGAAGTGCTGCATTGCATATATCGTCGATTCAAAACACGCAAAGACTGGGCGGCATTGCGTACGACCAAAATAGCTGACGCATGGGAGAGGCAGAGGTGGTAAGAGGAACGAAAGAGCGTTTGATCACAAAGACGCCGAAACATCCGCAGTCTTTGCGCGCAACGAATCGCCTATAGATTGGACAATTTATGATCTTACCCCCAAATACGACCCCCCCCCGGCTCCACCCTTAATACGGCCCCCCAGGTCAGGCGCGCCTGACCCCACGCTCAACCCTGGTAATCACTCAGATAAACGCCGGGAAGTTCCGGCGAACATGCGAAAGTTGTCAAAGTTCCGGAGGACCTTGTTAACCATTGGGGTATAGAAATTATAAAGTTCCCGTGATTTATGACGTCAAGGGAGCCGCGGATGCAAAGTTCCGGAGGAAGCGCTTGGGAACTTTGGCAAAGGTAAGAAAGTTCCCGTAAACTACACTAAATGAAAAGTTCCCGCGAACAATGTCGTGTTAGCCGGCCGATCGCGCGGGACACGTTTCGAGGGCGCGCTTGAGGAAGGGGATGTCGAAATACACAACGCCGTACTTTACGATTTCGTTTGGAGGTAAGTTCTTGTCTCTTTTATCACTTGTTTGTAAACAAGTTTCCTTTTTCAGCGAACAGCAAGTCGAGAAAAGCAGCGCACGACTGCTTGCACGCCCAAAAGCGTTCTATTTGGGAAGAAGCTGGCAGGATAGAACTCAAAGAAAAAAGGTAAGGACTCAGTTATTGTCTTCTCAGATATCGTACTTCACATCTCTTCTCTTTTATGCTTTCTCAAGAGTTATGGGACGCTTTTTTTGGCTGTTTCATCATCATCTTCTTCTTTATTCCTGTTTTCCTTCTTCGTAATGCTAATGTATTTCCTTACTTGTTCGTACTCTTATTTATTTCTGTATGCTCGTCTTCACTCTCAATCTGACAAGCGTCCCCAATCTTGGCATTAGAAATTAAGTTCCTTAATAACGTTTGAAAAATCAGTTTCATCAGGAAAAATCATCTACCGTAACTGTCCGGTTTATGTTACATTGTTGAGACATTTTACTTTCTCAAAGTTCTTCCTAGTTGTACACTTGATCTTGTGGCTTCTGCATTTCTTCAATAGTTAAGACGACTCAAAGGGAAGTTGATCGGGTGAGATAGATCGGACGGCTGAAAATGTGGTCAATTCTGATAAAACTGACGTCATATCAAGGGACCTGCCATACTTGATCCTCTTGATCCTCTTAATCCACTTGATCCGCTTGATCTACTTCGTGCAAAATGCGCGTCACTAATTTATCATAGTCATTTTGTCATTTGGCGTCGCGCACAGCGAGTTTGCGTGACCATACAAAATTTCTTTTCACCTACGTGGCGGCAGTTAAAAGTACTGTATCATATAACCCAACAGATCATCACTGGTACACTAGTCAAAACAGGCGTATAGAGATTGTGTAGCTGCTGTAACTGCCACAAACTTCGCCAAAAATGTTTTAGTGTGTATGTGTCTCGACAACCATGTAAATCAAATGATCCACACTAGCATATGGTGAAATTGAGATTTCAGATAGTACTCGAAATTGAAGTTCAGCAATAGCAATAAATCAATCATGACCAAAATTGGGGTGTTTATGTTTTCAAGAATGTTCTTTTGCATAGCTATGATTGTTAACAAAACGAGGATGAAGGTGGATAGACTGAAACAAATCCTCAGTGTTAAACGTCCTCTTCCCGATATATCAAGCGAATTCAAGGGAACGGTCATAGGTTGTCGGTGTTGTCGATGTTGTCGGTGTTGTCGGTGTTGTCGATGTTGTCGGTGTTGTCGATGTTGTCAGTGTTGTCGGGGTTGTCGCGGTTGCCGAGGTTGCGGTCGTTGTAGGACCTCATGATAGCCTCCACGTTTCGCGCGCTCTCTAAACTGTCTCTGACCCCGACAAAACCGACAACACTGACAACACCGACAACACTGACAACACCGACAACACCGACAACACCGACAACATCGACAACATCGACAACACCGACAACATCGACAACGTATGGCCGTTCCCTAAGTACGAAAATTTGAGACAGGACCACCTCATTCACCTTCAGGCGCCATTTAAGGTAATTAGGAACCAACTTTTGCAAAAATTCGTTGAATCTTTTTTGTAGGAATTCAATTTGAATGTTCTGAGGAAGTACGCCCTCCAAAAAGAGTGCAAGGCGACGTTACCAGTGAAATCATCGATTTTTTGCTGACTCCATTGTTGATGCGCTTACAGGTGAAGGTAATTCACAGCTGAAAATGATTGAGCTATAAAAATTTGGAGTCCATTTTGGATGCTTTGAATTTACATCACAACGAACTCTACGGATCGAGGCTGCATCTGCTAAAGAATTCACATAACAGGTGCTGTCTATATCTACCATAAACTTTATAACGCTGAAATTTCTTTTTTAGTTTTTGGCTGTCGCTAGCTGAAAACGAGCAGGGCCGTGGAAAAGCCTTTGATTCACTGTTGTAAAAAGAGACAAAAATGGAGCGTAAGCGCAAAAACATGCATTGCGAAGCGCTATAAGCCCACCACTTCTACACTACGCCATCGTAAAACGGCAGTTTCTATTTTTAGCGAGGATGTGCGCTACTACCGCTTGCACGATGGTCGTCTTGTTCCACCGAAGGTATGTTAGAATCCGCTTTCCCCCTTTTCTATTCATATTATATATATTCTTTTAGAAATCGAAAGGTGCCCTGGTTGGACTTGGACGCACCGACAAGGAGGCAATGAGCACGCACGCTTGGATTGAAAACTTAGGCAGTCAGTCGTGAAAAAATTTTGTTCGTTTTGTCAACAGATACTCAACGTGTGCATGTGCATTCAGTTATTCAATGAAGTATTTGAATACGAAACAAAAATTTTATCCTCAATAAAAATATAGACTGTTGTTTACGGCAATCGCATGAAAGGTGGTCATTAGCTGAGATTTTGACAGATTAAGCAAAAAGTTCCCGGAAACTACAGTCTTTTTAAAACTTTCCGCGAACATTGGATGAAAAAGTTCCGGCAAACCTAAATATTTCAAAAGTTCCAGAGAGCTTCAGATCTGAAGTTCCAGGAACTTACAATGGAGTTTCCCAGGTGACCCGCCGGAGCTTTCCTTAATGTTCGCCGGAACTTTCCGGCGTTTGTCTGAGCACGGAGTGGATAGCAGATAAATATAGTGTCATCATTTTCCGCTTAGGCTTCGACTAGAGTTCACGCGTTTTCTCGCGATTCTCCAAATTAGGCAACAGTTATAGTCGAGTAGATTTTCCGCTTAATATAGTGTGCTTGTACTGAAGGTGAGATGCGGTAAAACTTACGTGTGAACAAATAGCTACGCTTGTGACGGCGGCCAATTGCGCGCGCAAAATGATGGCATTATTGGCGCCACTTGTTTACGCGCAACTCTTGCCGCGGAACTGCTCGCACACTATAAGCTAATCAAACAATAGTTACCATCGCAGCCATGCGAAGACGTGTGAGAAAGTTAAAAGGTGAGAGGCCATCATGGAGAGCACGTCCTCCAGAGCGCATGTTACACCTCGTCTTTTAGAAAGACTCATGCATATTAGGGTTAGTAGAGACCACCACAAACAGGCGCAATTCAGGAATTTTGAAGAGTTTTGGACTCAGATTACTGTATACAAAGCTGTCCAAACAAAGTTTAAAAAGGGGTTCAGAAGTTTTCAAGAACGCTATTCGAGTAAATGTATGAGTGGTTTGCAATAGTAAATTTGATTGTTTCTATAAAATTGCACCGTGTCACCTAACCAATGGTCAAGATCTTATTTTGGCAGAACAGCCATGCAAATGAAAGGTTTTTGGGTAAAACAGCAGCAGACAAATCCGGGATACCATCTCGGTCCTTTATTCCTTATCATTTTTTCTTTCTCACTCGCTAACACATATTTAAGCTTCTACTTCTTGAACGATGAAACATCAGTGAAACCAAAAACTCCAATCAATAAAGGAGCGATCGAATGCTTCTGACTGCGGCGATATTTTGCTGACACAAGAAGCATTATGACATTTCCACGTTTTCTTCTGACGGTTGTATCATTTCTGAGAGGTGAGTCCTTCGTTGAAATAATAGAAATTAGCTCAAATGTGCTCTTTTTTCTGATCGTTGAGGTTCATCTCCCCTTCTTTAGCAGATGTATAGATTTTTTTAAATTTTTATCCTCAGAAATGCACTACGCATTATCTTAACAATTTGACTATCCCAGCCATTTTAAACACATATGAATTGAGTATCTAAATCTGCAGTTCAGACTCCTGAAGAGCTACCGCGATGTCCTGTGTTCCTTATGACAATCACGCCACCAGTAATATTACCGCATATAAGTTGCCTTAAAACTTCACATATGAAATGATGATGCGCAAAAGTGCTGAAACAAGAGTAACGTTGCATACGCGCGTATGCACACGGTCACCAATGTGTGAAATTAGAGGCTTAATTTTAAATAACCCACCTGATTTTGATTTTTTGTAGTCCATTTTATCCAGTTTGATTTTAGACTTGTTGAGCTCTGGCAACAATCCAGAACTCTTGCGCAACATCCACTTGGCTGCGTGCCAGAGATTGGTTCGTTAGGAAACGAGGTTGACTTACTGTACCCTGAGGAGATTATGTCCAAAGTACAAAAACGCCATTGAGCTTGAAATCGTATTAATCCTTCAAGAGTTAGAGGAAACCAAATTTGCCTTAGTTGACTGTGAGATGTAAGTTTTGAACTGATTATAGTCGAAGGGGAGCGAGCGTTAGGTACCCAGCCGTCAGTGATATACACTAAGCCACGCCCCTTGGTTGCTTCAGCAGCGGTTACCTAACGATACACCAAATCCTAGCTGCTAAAACAGCTCACCTAGCTTGCGAAAGTGCTGGCGCTTGCGACCTACAGAAAAGAGAGAGTTTGAGGAAATCAAAAGAAAAAAGCGCGAATGAAAGCGCAAGTTTGTATGCAGCGTTTTTCTATTGCCTCTTTTTCAATTCAAGAAGCTTTTATGAGCACTTCACATAGTTCGAGAAAAAAATGTTGTAATTGAATCTAATCGATAATGTCAGCACTTTCAAAAAGTAAACTTTGTAGAATTCCAATAAACAGATACTCCTGGCAATTAGATGCGAGAAATCCTTTGTCCCAAAAAACTGCTTCAAATACATTTTCTGACAATGAGAAGTGGAACCGATTGGAAGAAGAGCTTCCATGAGAAATTGTCATCAAAAATCGGAACATTATTGCCTATGTGACCCATAATTTATGGAAAGGCACTAGCTCTGTTCCAGTCAATGAAAGTTTTGCATCACAGAGCGATTTCAATTTTATGGAGTGTGTGCCGATAGAATGAAGCAGGAAAAAGCAACAAACTCTACTGGAAGTAATTTTTACAATATCTTTCGCTTTTTAGTGAGCTACAAAGAAATCATAACTTTGGTTGGCCAAATTGATCATATTTTGTTGCTAGAAAAGAGGATGAATATGAATTTATGATTCTTCAAAAAGGCACTACAGAGAACAACTACATGATAAAAAAAAGTACTTCAATGAAACTTTTATATGAGATGCGAAATCTTCCGAAATTAGAAAAAAAATGCACTTATCATACTCTTCCATAAATCTGCTGGCCTCAGCAGTGACCTAAGTAATACCCTTAAAGGCACCGTCCACCCAAAGTGAGGGTTGATGAGATTTCGATGCATACTAGTGTGGGCCCCCACACTAGTATGCAACGAAATCTCATCAACCCTCAGTTTGGGTGGACGGTGCTTTTAATAATCGAGGATAATGTAGTTCACAATCCCTGTGGCAATATTAACGCGACTTTAACTTCCACCTCAAAACGAGGCCCTTTAATAATCGAGGATAATGTAGCACAATCCCTGTGGCAATATTAACGCGACTTTAACTTCCACCTCAAAACGAGGCCGACATATGTGAATAAAATATTCCTTCAATTTATTTGCCAGGAACATCTCCGAAAGTGCGCTTTGCTTCATAAAAATCATAAAATTTTGGTTCATTGGAATTTTACAAGTTCACTTCTTTGGAAATCCCTCCGACATTATCGATTAGATCAGATTATCGCAATTTTTTCTTGCCTATGTGAAGTGCTTATAAAGCATCACCCTGTTTTTAACTTCCATCACCGAATATCTGTGATTCTAGAATTGATTCAAAAAAAAGAAGCAATAGAAAACATTTCATACAAACTTTCGCTTTCATTGCGCTTTTTCTTTTGATTTCTTTAAACTCTTTCTTTTCTGCGGGTCGCAAGCACCAGCGCTTTCGCAAGCTAGGTGAGCTGTTTCGGCAGCTGGGATTCGGTGCATCGTTAGGTACCTTGAAGCAACCAAGGGGCGTGGCTTAGTGTATAAGACTAATGGCTAGCTACCTAACGCCCACACCTTGGCTGGGTACCTAACGCCACGCGCCCATAGTCGAATACTCTGTGATTACCCCCTCCCCTCTAGTCTGGCGCTGTGGCTTGTGAGCACAAAATTTGAGAGCGGCGAAGCCCCGTAGAGTTTATGGAACACCACAATCCAAAGCAAAAGCACTCGATAATTCTACGCATTTGAAGGCAACGGTCCGGGAAACGAATACTGATCGAGTAATTTACGTCATTGAGACGACTTCCTGTTATAGGCCAAAACATCTAAGAATAAATTGTTGCATGGAAGTTCAAGAATGAACACTTTCTTATGTTACAATTTACGATGAAAAACGGTTTAGTCGTGACGTGAAGAAACTTAGGAACCTAAAAGGTACTCCTGTGACAATTATGAAGAAATTTTTCGTACTTCAAAGAAGATTACATACCTTTTTGAGAGTTGCGATTAGATATACAGCGGTCCCAAGAGTATGTACTGTAGGCTGACATCAATTAAGTATGGGGCGATTTATCAGTCGCTTCTCACTGTTGTAAAATTACCTTAAGATTGAAGCGGTTTCGAAACATCAAGAGCCATTTCCCCAAGAAAAGGAATCAAAAGTGCTGAAAGTCTTGCACTAGATTTCTAAAGACACACACCTTACGTAGAATTTGCACTTAACCGTAATGCTTTTTTTCAAAACTTACGCCTGGTACACCGTAACAAGTGTTTTGCAATGCCCTTCAAAAATGTGACTGCCGTTTGAAAAGCTTGAAAACTTGTGCGTAGTAAAATCAACATACATAAAAACACTGCTGCACAGATTTTGGACCTTTTTTTGAGACAATTTTTTGGCTGTCTTATTTTGCAGTCGGTCTGTATGCTGGAATTTCCTACCGTGATAACATACAATAAGAAAAACATGTGTGATTCACTTACTGCCTATTTATAAGCTGAAGTCATCCCTACTGGATATTACCCAGAGATTGGCAAAAGACTTTGAGTGGTATTAGCAATCAAACGGTGTGTAGAAACTTTGAGACACACCGTATACGCTATGCATATCGAATTTTCGAATAGTCAATTCTTATCGAATTTGCGAATATTCGGTGCTCAACGAATATTCGAATATTTGATGAACATCGAATGATCGAATGAATGACCCTCGAATATTCGACTACGAAATAATATTTGGTTAAGATTTTCGAATATTCGACTCGAGTAATATTCGAAAATGAAGACTTTACTATTTACTATCGAATATATTCGAAAACTGAAAATCTCGAATATTCGACTATCGTTTATCCGAAATTTCAGATTTTCGAACATTCGACTTTTCGAATCATTCGCATTCGAATGATTTATTTGAATGATCGAACAATTATTCGATTCGGTCCCAAGTACAATAACTTTTTGAGAAGTCTTAATTTTTGCGAAGTCGCAAAATATACAAATACAGCTCCAAACACTAACAAACGTCAGAATTTGAAACTTGCAAAGACTGATTAGGATAATACATTAAGTTTACAAAGCATCAGAGTATTTGCCGCTTCGAAATATCAAATCTCACATTCTGCGGGTACAGCATGAGGCAGGTTCAGAATCACGAATTTTGATAACTTTGTCGCCGAATACTCCACGAATTGATAAGAAAAAATTCCTAACAGAAAGGGGAGAAAAAGATGCATCGAATAACACCTTAGTGTGTTCCGTTTGATGTTCTGTGGGTTTTTGGATGGCCAAAAGTGGAATTTGATAGCATCAGAAATATAATTGAAATGTTGGAATGCCAGCTATTAGGGCCAAAAAATCTCAATGCATTGCACTTTGTTTACGCTATTCAACTACTATCAAAGCTTCTCCAAAAATTCATAATAAAGAGGTTTTGAAAACTTTCCAAAGTTGAGCATAGTAAAAACCATTGGTCTGAAATTTCGGCAGTTATCTCAGACCACCAAAGCAAATGGCCTCAAAACATGGCTGGTGGAAAGAAGAATAAAAACTACGTCCGATAGTGCTTAAAGCACTTGCCTTCTTTTCCACGTGTTTCTATGAAATGAACGGAAAGAACTTTGAGTCGACCTAATATGTATGTTTCGTAATGCCAGAAAACTTCATAATAGACTTAGAAAGCTCGGAGAGAAAAGAAGCAAACAACAGAGAAAAACATCTTCATATTTTGACAACCAAATCAAAATTTATGCTACGGATATTTTTTTAACAGTTCATTCATATCCGAAAAGCCGTAAACCTGGATCCTGATCTTTTGTAAAAGATTTCAGCTAAATCCGAATTTGATTTCGATTGGGCATTACCGCTGCTGAACTTTGACTCGGCAGCAAACAAATTTCACTAGTGAAAAGAGCACCCTCGAAACTCCTAAATCCGAAATTTGGTCTTGATTGAAGCACTTTCGCTTCTGAACTTCGATTTTGACTCTCTTTGACGTTCCGTTTTCAGCATCTAAAACGACACTGGATGAGGGGGGGGGATGCTTGCAATGCCTGTATCCTGAAGAACTCGTAATTATATGGAGTCCAAATTTGGACTTTTTAGTGCCTGGCAGGCACATCACTTAGGTACGAGATTATGGCTCGGGTGAAAAACTTCTCTCACTTCCTCCCCCCCCCCCCAAAACAAGGTGTTGAGAATCTGACTGGACGGTGCCTCTAAGGCTTTCCTCCAAGGTGCAGCGAGGTTTCGAAGTTTTCCTGCTTTGCCGTCCAGTGCCACATTCACCTTGTGGGGGAATTTCTCGGTTTGGAAGTCATCTTTACAACGAGTTCAGTCAAAGGCCGTGCGAGAGAGTCGCCTTAGAACCTCAGCGGTACCATTAAACAATGCTTTCAATCCCAAAAGTTACCTTGCGATGTGCTGCTCTCCTACCTCTGCTTTCTCTCTGCAGTTGTGCTGAGGTCAATGATTGTCATTCGCTTGGACTGTTTTTACTCACCGCTGATGCCATGGTCCGCTATAGCTCTGTCAAGTCTAACGAGTTAATTACTCTCAGGACTTGATCCCTCTACCCTGTTGTAAAATGGGGGACTTTAATGGGGAGGGGACCATCGAGCACCCGGGAATTGCCAGCTCATCGGAGATTCTGGGCACCGACAAGTTCGTGGGCCATCCAATTAGTCTGCGTCTCGACATGTTCATTCCATAGCAAAGCTCATCCTCGAGCTTTCATCTTTGACCATGGCTCGGAAAGAAGAAAAACCACTGTAACTTTTGATCATGTCGGAGCGCACGTTTGACTATTTGACCATCATCATCCTTTCATCAT